TAGGAAAAAATCTGATATCTATATATTTTATCATGATTATTCCCATTTCATTAATTTTGCTTGGCCATAAGAAAAGATCATATATATCCAAGTCTAAAAGTTAGATACAGATTTGAAAATAATTTGTGGACTATTAAAATAATTACGCAGAACGTTCAAAATTATTAGAACGTTAAAACTTTTTTGCAGTATTACTTATTATGCTTGAACGTTCTACATAATTATTTTGATAAGTCTAATAAAATTATTTTTAGATCTAGCCAACTTTTTAAATATTTCAGTAAAATCACTCCTTCCATTTAAATTCAATGAAATTATCGAATCAAATTTTTAGTTTGAAGTTGATCCGGTTTAAATTTCAAGTTTAATCCGATTGCTGGATAGACACTCGACAATTTTATCGTTCAACTCGATCACAAGCGGTGTTGATGAAAGTGTTTGCAAGTGTTGATAAAAGCAGTTAAAGCACGTGATCATCGAAATTGATTGTGAACATTTGAAAAATACGAATCCTTTACTGTGGCTTGTCTTTTCTGATCAGTTAGTATCTAAAGTGAGATTTTATTCGATTTTAATACTGATTGTATTGGAGAATACTGATATTTTAATGTATTAAACGAACGGACAAATAAAATGGATCGGAAAGTCTCGGATTGGTTCACTGATCGTAAAAGTTTCTCGTTCTAACGCCGTAAAAATCGCCTCGCTGTCCCTAACTGCTACAGTTAAATTATTGAAGGATGCGGTTGACTTTGACCTTCGAGAGAAAAGGGATGAAACGATTGCATCTTCTTTTGTACGATCTTTAAATGGCGTCGATCAGACACGCATACTGGCGGTGAAAGACTCTTTATCGAGCAGAAGAAAAAAACCACGAACGTGATCGTGGTGGATAAAGGGCGTGTGGACGTCGTTCCCTTCCGTTCTTCTTCTTGCCTAGGGCACCCCTTAAGCCTGGTCCACCCCTACAGGGTAATAGCGGACCGGCAGGGGGGCCGCAGTAACGACGCGTCGTCAGTTAATCAAGCCATTTCGTTCCTGCGGGATTGGAATGAGGATTCGGTCGAAACGACGACCATCGATTTTGCTTTGGCCGCAGTCGTACAACTTTCCCAACTTCCGAGGGAATACGAAGGAGAAAGTTGGAGTTTACATCTTCGTGCACTTCAGGACAATTTACGCACTTTGCCGTCGACAGATGAGAAAGGAAGGAAAAAATGGCAATTAGGTTGAGAAATATAACTTGTAGTATGACTTATAAATTCGATTTAACTTCAAATATAATTTATAATTTTTTGAAAGCATTTTAGAATTTTTCCTGGACTACGCTTTCCAGGAAAAGTCTGGTATTCAAATATACACTTTTGATGACAAATTCCAGGTTTCCTTTACCGAATTTAAACATATTCTCATTTAACGAAGTAAATATAAAGTAAATACAAGCGTAATATTTATATCGCCTCGCGAATATCAATAAAGGCATACGGTATGGTAATCTCGTTGTACCTTTACTGTGAGGTTTAATCCACTTACAGAAGTTGTGTAGCTCACCGCGAAACGAGATCAGAAACTCCAGCATTTCAATAAAACGACTTCTTCAACTTTCCTTATGGTTGAATCCTTTTAGAATTTGAACTCCAATATAAACGAGCTCAAATTCATTGTTAATAAAATCGTATGGAAAAATCCCAAGTTTTAGAGGAATAATCTCGACTTTGTACGTCTTTTCATTTAAATTTAAAAAAAATATAATTCCATTAAAGCAAAGATAATTTAAAATTGAAAGAAAACTACAAGTTTTTCTTATTAAGATTTATCGAGAATTTTAATGCTTCTTGCTTAAGAAAAGGTCATCTTCAAATTAAATAAAAACCTATTTCTTACTCTCTATATTATATCGTTATATAATACATTTTTTTATAAACGACAAATTATACTATTATATTAGCAAAGAAATTTTATAAAAATGATTTTGCTTCGTGTTTAAGACATTAAAAAAAGAATATAAATTATATGAAAATATTAAAAAACCAATAAAAGTATTAAAATAATTCTTATTTGTTAAACTCTATGTTAAAAGCGAAATCAGCTTTGGTAGTCAAAATGTCGACAAGAGAACGGCGACTACTTCTGGTCAACCAAAATCTTCAGGAAGATCGAGTGAAGTGCTCTGGTCTTGCACCGCATGGAAGACCAGCGAGATCTTCTCTGGTGGCCACCATGATGATACGCAAGACGTATCTCGGTCGAGCACTGAGTCCATTGTCATTGAGATTCCCGAGCTGTCCCAGGACACGAAGGGGATGAGGAAAGGGCGCACTGCGCGCAATTTCCGCCCATCGGGGTTCGACGATCAGGGGGGAACGGCGCCCCAAGCCCTCGTAATCCCGCGACTGAAAGCCTCGTTTAATATTTATGATTTATTTCGGTTTAATTCGACGTGCAAACGAGAGGCGTATTTGTATTCAACGACTGTCTGGTTGGCTGGCTGGCTGACCTGCTCGCTACGCGACGTCTTAATCCCTCGAGACCTCGGATCCTGACTTGAAGCACGGAGCTTTACTCTGACTCGAGAAGAGAGGAAGATGTTTTCCTCTAGTCCTAATCTGAATGCGCTACGAATTCTCGTTGCCTCACGAGTTGCACTGCTTTTGATTTATGGCGCGTATTGTGTGAGAACACCATATAAAACGGAAACGGAAGAGCAAAGAATAAGTTAAGATAAAATATAATTTGAAATTTAATTTCTTTTAAATTTCTCTCAAACTTAATAACGAAAATAGAGAGTAGATTCATGAGTTTTTGCACAGCAAAAATACAAAATAAAACCAATTTGATGTTAAATTAATACATTAATTTTGAATACTTAATCTTAAAATTGTTAAAAAATATTTTAAGATGAAAAATTACTACATTTTTCAAATTTAAAAATAGATTTTACGTTAATGGAGAATTAAGATCTTGAGATTTATTTCTAATTTCTCTTCCAATTGTACATTTCGTGAAAATCTCTTTTAACAATTGATAAAAATTGTGTTACTATAAAGAAAAAGTTTCATAAGGCGATACTAGTAAGAAATATTATCCAGCATTTTGCATGTAACAACACTTATTTTTCCTTATTAAATTTCTGGTCCTCCCATTATTGACGCTTTGATTGTCTTTGCGCGAGGTAACAACAACAGGCCTCCGCAGCGGATACAAGTTTCAAGAACGCGATGGCGAGTTTACAAGCGCGGCGGAATCATCGGCGTCATTGTTCCGGGAACAATGCGCGAATAGAAATGCCTTCACCCTCGTATCCGGCAGCCACGGCGAGGTCTAGGGGAGAGAATTACCCTCTGCATTAACTCGCGTAATTGAGATTTATTAATCCAGCGGCCGGTTAGTGGCCGCGCACCAGCCGTATCTTGTTCTCCTCCGAACCGAGGTTGGGCTGTAACTTTATTATTATTACGGAGCGAAGTATGTGCACTCGCCCGTAGGATTTTTCCGGGGGCAGAAAGGCGTTTATCATCCTGAATGAATGAACGATCAATTCGGAGTATTCCTCGTTCACATTTTATTTCGCAACTTCTGCTTGCAATAAGAATCTCATTGATAAGAATTGAAGAAAAAAAATAAAAATAACTTTTATTTCTGCGAGTACGATTGTTACAGTGTGGAATTTATAATGTCAACTTATATCCGAGGGGTCAACCACTATGGCACAATTAATGTACATTTCTTTAGAAATATATTGCGGCAGTACAATAATAAAACAAGCAATGCTAGCAATTCTAACAATGTACTAACAATACATAGTAGTACATTAACAATACTTGGCAACAATATTGTGCGCAATAGGTGCACATAATACAGGGAAAACAATAGCAATGCTAACACAATAAAGCGTGTTGTATTGCCTACATAATTAGCAATCACTGTACATTTTTTAGTAGTGATTGATCCCTCGATTATAGCCAATTTGAATTATTTTTAATCATTTCTATAGGTCGTCACTTGACCATTCAATATATTAATTAATTTAACTAAAATAATGGAGTTAAACTCAAGAAAATGTATATATTAAATTCGACAAAGTAAACGTCCACATTAACGTATACTAAGTGTATTCTCCGCCATATAAAAAAGATATGTCAATATAACACTATTAAAAATAACAAAGATTAAAGCATGTTTTTTTAAAGATGGCCGTTTTACCCAAGTTTACTCTACATGTTTATGGAATAATGTGGTTACCAGAGGGTAGACTACGGGTTAAGCCGTTAGTTAAGCCCGCAGGGAAGTTTCATATTGCTAGATTAAGCGTTCGACTTTCACCTTAGTTCCTCTCTCTTTCTCTCTCTCTCTCTCTCTCTCTCTCTCTCTCCCCCCCCCCTTCTATCTCTCTCCATTTCTCCATCTTCTCCGTTTACGTCTTAAGCCGAACGGCCCTAAGTTGTAGGCGCGACTTTCATTAAACAGCTCGATGACAGATCGCTTGTCTTCGTTTGTATTAAGGGTGGTGCTGAAACCAGATTTAGACGGCGATATTACGATTCGGAGACCCGACTGTCCTTAATTCAAGACTTCCCAGTTACGTGACCGTGTTTCATTTGCGCGTTATTGCTCGATGATAGTAAATGATTAAGACCAGCTCGAAGGGTATAGAAAGGTATGCAGCATTTCCTCGAAATCTTTAGCAGAAAAAATACGCAGAAAAAGATCTCGTCTGGTATTTCTAAATAAAATTTTACTATAACCGCAATACATAAATACAAAGTATAATATAATAAAATATAGAAGTATATAGAAATATGTAACGTGGAATTCTTCCCTATTTCATTGCATAAAATCTGGAAGAGTTAAAAATACGTTTTACGTCGCTAATAATTTGCTGTTTTGTCGTATGGTGGTCGAATTCTAGTCGACTCCTACGAGAAACAGATGGCACATTGCACGCTGAGATGAAAAACGTCCATCGATGTATAATGCAATTGTTTCTTGCTTCTTTGCAGAGGGATGGCGAGACTCGGTGTTGGGGGCCCCGCGTCGTTTATTGGTGACTCTCGGCAGTCTCTCCAGGGACAGTTCGCCATGTCCTGCCGCGGTAAGTCACCGCTTTGTTCATCCCTTATCAACAAAGCCCCGCGATCAAGCTACGATCTTTTATTTGCTGGCTGTGCGACAAAGTGAGATACGAGCAGGGATTCGCAATGGTCGATAAGATCTGGAAGGAATTAGCTTTCTTGTCGTTTTACAGCAGACACGACGCGACATAATACTGAATATTACGAGAAAAAAAAAATGGGATCGCGATACAATACGTTTAAGATTTGAATAACGAAATCAGAAGAGATACTTTATTTCTCGTTTTTAAAAAAACTTTTTTACCTTCAAAAATTTAACATTGCGGGAAAGTTTGGTATATTTTTATTAAAACAAACTAATTCTTAGGATTTTTTTATTAGAGGTGAAACCCACCAAACTTTTATCATTGTATACATACTCGTACCTTTTTTTTTTTTTAGGAAAGCATGATTAAAGTACAAAAAACGTGACATTTATATCCTTATACTTTCTAGCCTGTCTTATTTCTTGATATTCGACGTGAATGATTCGGAAGAAATTGCGCTGTATTCGCAAAATTTGCGGCGCGTCCGTGCGCGAAATTATGAGATCGTACCGTCACGAATTTCTGCGATGTTACAGTGAAAATGGCGTCACGCGTGGAATGTATAAATTTTCGTTAACATTTCGACGCGATTGCCGGTACCAATTGTGTCTTCAAAATTTATGGTCCTGCATATTATGTATGCCTACTACGCCGGCGAATAAATCACAGTTGCGGTAATGCAATTGCATCTACCGTCACCGTTTTGATATCTTTCAACATGCATTACGACTTCAATTTTTTAGCACACAGAATGTATCAAGCTTGGCTTTTTTTATTTTATTTAAATAAGGAAACATCAAAAATATCAAGTTTCTTCTTATAAAAAAAAATTACACCGGTATAATTGCAATAAATTAAATTATATTAAACCTATGATACATGGAAAGAACAATTTTGTTAAAATACACTATTGCTCAAAAATATTTATTCATTCCGATTTTTGTACGTACCATTTTTTTATTGTACGTAGAATTATAAATTTTTAAAACTACAATATTAACCATTATTATTAAGTCTAGTATGTAGAAGAGTAGAAAAAATGAAATTCACTGTTCTTCATTTAATTAAGAAAGACAGTTAATTATGTAGATGCCCAAGCTGTTGTGAATGTCAAAACTTTTTGCAGTATTATTTATTAAGCTCGAGCGTCCTATAATATTTCGACGATACAACCATTTCGAATCATTTTCAAATCTACATCTAGCTACATTTGCAGACAACTTCAGCAAAATCGTTCTTTTCATGCAGCAAAAGGTAAGCTTAACAACAAATAAGCAAATAGATGTTCGATCTCAAGGCGTGAGAATTACACGTTGCAATCTCTCGAGAAACGATTTTGACCTTTTCGCGATTTTGACCTCGCGTGGACCTGAGTGGATCGGAGGGAGATTCGAGATTCGCATTCCGTTCCAAGGAACTCGATCACGGCCGTTTTACCTGAGTGCGTTCGAGCGGACTCCACGTTGATCCGGTCGCGCAATAAATTTTCCCTTTCAACCCCCTTTCGAGCTCGCGTCTGTCGCGCTGGTAACGAGATCGTATCTGACGCGCCGTGCCGTGTCATTTACATACTCTTCGCCCTGAGGCAACGCGAGGGTTGTGCCTCGTATTCGGCCTCGGTTTGATTTACATTTTCCAACGCGCGGCCGAGGATCAGCCGTGCCTTCGAGCTGACGGATGCGGGGATTGGCGTGGATAACGAAAAGAAGCGGCCGCGAAAGTCTCACCTGCTCGCCGCAGGGAGGGAATAGATGCAAATTTACTTGTGAAATATATCACTTTTGCTCGACGGCGCATTTCAATGAGAAAGATCGCGTTTTGGCACGTTCCCTATTTATACACCGATCTTCCGTTCACTCGCAAATTATTTATTCGCCTGTGAAATTATTTATCATCGAGAATTATTTATCGAGAACAACAAGAAAATGTTACCCGACTTTAATAGCATCTTTTGTTCCATCTATCATGATATTACGAAATCATAATATCATGGATATTTATTTTGTAATGTTTATCAAAATCATATCTTAGAACATTGTAATGATTCTCTTCTCTTATATAATGATTTTCCTTGTAATACATGAAAAATAAGTTAATAACAAGGAGAATTTTATTAGCTACATTTTTAAAAATACCTAACGTTATTTTCAAAATAGGGTACATTTATTAGGATTATTATTAAATTTCTTTTATATTGTAATATTATTTATCAATTTTTTACGATTTCCGGTTAGGAGCCACGTATTACGGTCGTTATGAGATAATTAGAAGGGTGGAAGAAAACCCGGTTATAATTTATCCGGATACTACGCGAACTTTGAACTACTAGTGCCAGAGGGAGAAGAGAGTAAATATGTTGGCGAGTCGGGATAATGAATTCCATTAGGGCAAGAACTTGGCCGAGAGTGCGATCGGCGTTAGTGCTGAAAGAAAAGCGCCGGACACGTGCAGCTCTCTGGTCTGGAAATGTCGGGAGGAAATAATCTGACTCGGAAAATCGCCTGCGGAAACTTCGTCAGCAGGCGTTCTTGTCGGAAAACTTTCCTTGTGCGTGGCTTCCCTTAAGGAAAACTTCGGCCGCGGAAAATCCCACGAATTTATAAAAGGGATACAGGCATTCGCATTATACATATTTATAATACATTCGCGATATTGATTACCTTGTGTGTGGACATAGAATGTCGCACATCCTAAATGTTATTTTTAGTGTTTAAAAAAATATCCACGTTTTTCCTCCTTTTTTTTTAGTAAATTTTTATTTGACGTTACTTGTTTTTTGTAATAATAAGGTAAACTTATATTTTATATACTTGTTTACTCGATTATGTTATTAATAGATTATATGTACAATCTTTTTTTATGTAGTGCGACGCGAATTAATTAAGTAAAATTATTATGTATTAAAAATTTTATCGAAAGAAATTTATTCAATTACAACATTAGTGACTTATATATAATAGATACAGACGAAACTATAATAAAGAAGTAAGATTTTTAAATAAACATTTGCAAAATTTAATATGAAGAATTGAAGAAAAAATTTCTTTCTAAAATATCCTGAAGGCATTTTCGAGATATCCGTGTTATTTTTAAAATGTACATTCTAAAAAATTATTCGAAAAATATTACATTTCAGTACTATTTTAAAAATGTAATAACCAATATTGAATCAGCATTGAATTAATTCTCCGTAGATTTTAGTTTAATTTTAGCATCTCACAATGTCGCATCGATCCTATAACGTTCTAATAAATAAATCGCGCGTCGCAGGTGTCGTCGAAAGAAATTGTGGTGAACCCCGCCGTCAACTATGGATCATTCAATAAGGTGGAGTATCTCACAACTCGTCGCTCTTAAAGGCAATAGGATCTCGTCACTCTGGTATTAAACTAGCACTCACGTATTACGCGAGCATTTCATCGCGCCCACGTAGCCATGTACCTACGTGTTTCTATAGCCACCGTTTCCATCACGCTATTTCGTTATCGAGGCAAATGGTGTGTTGTTTGTCTAAACGACTGCACTGAAAAACACGCGCAATCGACACGCTCGATTCAATTATCGACATCGCTGCGTCGGGAATAAACACTTAAAACATTGATTGACATGGTGTACACGCTGTGTCTTTGTACAAAGACACTTTGTCTTTTTTATTCTTCACTAGCTTTGCATGCAGAGTGCGTACGTCATGTGAATCAGTGTTTTAGATGTTTATTCTCGACACAGCGATGCCGGTAATTGAATCGAACGTGTCGATCATTTAAAAGAGCTGAATAGTTTAGTAGCACTAATAAATCACATATATTTGTTTAATAATTATGATGTGTTTGGGGAGGCTATTAGCGCTACTTTTGTCATTCTATCTTCGTTATTTTTAGACGTAAAACAAGAATAGAATGACACAAATAGCACTAATAACGTCTCCCTGAGTGCATCTTTAGAATAAAGAGAATTATGAGAAAATATTTAAGGAAAGAAGGAGTATTATATTTCTGAAGGAAAATATTAATTTTAAACATGACAAAAAATTAAATATACTTATTGTTATTTCTATGGAAAGTTTCCATTAAATTATTTAAAAAAAAAAAATAGTTCAATAACCGCATTTAACTTAAATTCAAGGATGCGAGTTTAGGAAGTGGATCAAGAAGATCGTTTTTTTATCTATTCAGATTTTCAAAAAACAATTTTTTATTGTCATCATTAAGAATGTCAAAAGATCAAATTTTTTTTTTACTGATTATTTTTGACATTCCTAATAATTATTCATGTATATTGTATGTAATACAAAAAAATTGTTTTTTGAAAATCCTAAGTGAATAAAAAATGATCTTCTTGATCCACTTCCTAAACTCGCATTCTTGAATTTAAGTTAAATGCAGCTATTAAGCTTTTTTTTTTTTATTGACTCTTCTCCTTATTGACTCTTCTCCTTTAAATCCTAGTCTTTGCATCAATCATTGCCCATTCGTTCAAAGAGCCACACTAAGCGAAATTCCAGACACCCATAAGAAAATTACTTTCGCGAACTGGAGAAGATGTACGAAAAGCAAGAGGGAGATCGACTCGTGAGAAGGTGGAGGTATTCGCGGCTCGTCACTTCCGATATTGGTTTTATATTGGATTTTCGTTCCTCGTGTGCGACGCAAGAGCGGTGATGTCTTTGATTTCAGCGGAAAAAAAAGCGTTAGCCGATCCCGAATTAGTCGGTTGCTCTTTCCGGAAGTATAAAGGAGCGTACGCAGGGAGGGTGAAAATATACGTGCAGCTACCGGGAGGTCCTCGGTATCGATCAGCAAACCAGGTGTTACCACGCCCAGATATCAATTAATCCGTTTACGTGAAACGTGAGAGAGGATTACATCGGTTCAGAATTGATAATTTTGATTGATGACTCATTGATAGTCAAAAGGTCGAATCATTTTTATTAATGA